ATATATATATAATATATATATATATCCCCTTTTCAATCCAAGCATTTATCTGAGTGTCTGTCAAATCTTGCAGCTATGGAAAGACTATAATAATGTGTGAGAAGTCAAACAAAAATACTTCTCTGCAGAACTTCTATCATCAATCATCCCAAATCTCATAGCAGCTACACTGTGGAAACTGCAACCAGACCACATGTTCAGTTCCTCAGTGGATGGAAGATTGCTTCAGCCATCAGGAGGCAAGCATGTTCCCATAACCATGACCATGGCTGTTGCCCCACAAATGAAGAAGACATTCAGGTATTTAAAAAACACAAAGAATTCGTGCAACTGATATGAAGCAGCAGTAACTCCTACTTCTCCCCATAGAAACTGAGTGAGATCAACGCTGAAAATTAGTCATTTCCTAGGAAAATGCAATAAAACTCTAGAACTGCTGTAGAATGGTAAAGTCATCGCCTCTGATTCATACCAGCTGATTGTCCTATCATTCAACTCAATTCTGACACTACCTCCCGGAAGACAGCATCATATTCCGCAGCCCCATAACTCCGCCCTCCACCTCAGACACCTGTGGTTCTGAACAGCTGGCTATACATCCCAAGATCCTGTCCTTGGGCTCCATTAATTTGCTGGAGCAGCTCACAGAACTCAGGAAACCTGTTTTACTTACTCAGTCACTGGTTTATTATGAAAGGATATAACTCAGAAACAGTCAGATGGAAGAGATGAGCAGGGGCAAGGTTTGGGAAAGTGTGTGGAGCTTCCATTTGCCACCCTCGCCAAATCTCCATGTGTTCACCAAACCTCATCCTTTTGGGTTTCCATGGAGGCTGTAATGCATAGGCATGATGAGTGAAGTCACTGGCCATTGGTGATGGATTCAACCTCCAGCCCCTCTCCTCCCCTGAAAATCAGGGGGCGGAAAGGAAAGTTCTAGCCTTTCTTTGTGGTGGCTCCTCTGGCCCAGACCTGTTCTTAGATGGTTTCCATAAGTCTCAACCTAAGACCAGTGGTGTTGGGAAGGGGCTTGGTATGAATTATAAGACACCATGTCACCGTTATGAAAGCAATTTCAGGAACGAAGGACCAGAGACCAAATTTAATGACAAAAGATGTTTCCATTGCTCTTATCACTCAGGAAATTCCTCGGATTTTAAGAGCTCTGTGCCAGAAACAGGGACGAAGACCAAATACATATATATGTAATTTTAAATCTGAATGTAACACTCTGCAATGTTGTGCAAGGCACAGCACAAAATGTAAAGAAATCCAAAACCTTACAGACATTATAAACCATCACAGGTCTGCAATGCGGGCTATGAAATGACAAAGCCTGACGGTCATTTGTTATTGTGTCTCAACCTAAGAAATGATGCTCTTGTTTCCACAGCTGGAGGTTGGGAGGAAGAAGTATGGTTATTCTAATCCTCATTATTATTTTTATTTCTAAAGGAATGTTTTTTGCTTTATTTTCCCAGCTCAGAGAACACTAATAAATGTACATTATAAATAAAATAGGCTTATAGCTTCTTTCGAATGGTTATGTGCCCAGCATCTCACTATTCACTTTTACAACACTTATTGAATCCTCATATTCTGAGCATGAGTGGCAGGTCTTGTTATCACCACTTTCCAGCAGAATGAAAGGATGTTTCCACAGTTAAATAATTTTCCTGAAAGCATCTAGCAGGTGAGCAGCAGATTTGAAATTCCAACCTGCCTGACACTAGAGCCTCAGTTTTAAGCCCAGGTTCTCAGTCTCTATACTCCTCTTCTTGAATTCGAATGAAAGCAATACAAAAGAGACCTCATTTGTCACTCTTAATAAACTGCACATATGTTACCTCAATTCAAAAATTATTTGTTAAAATTCAAAGCCACTATTTGTTTTAACTATTTAGTCAAAAAGGACTGAGCTAATACAATCTGTTGGTGCTCTCTATTTAATTAAACAGCCACCTGGCTTCAGGGGTTACCAATTACATCACCTAATAAGATGTGTATTTGTCTAATTACAGCAATAATTTTAAAAAAAGACTGAGAAAGAGAAGGAGGAAATAAAAAAGGAGGAAGGAAATGTGGATGAGAAAAGGGGAGAAAGGGAGTGCTGGGAAGGAGGGAGGAAGAAGGAAACAGAGAACAATGAGAGAGAGGACAAGGGGTGGGGAAGCATGAAAGGAAACAAGGAAATGCACTGTTGAATGTCAAGTTGGTGTAGATGTTAATATCCATTCGGAATCCACTCTGACTTCCCTTCTATGTATTACTTCATCTCATAAGCCAAAACATTTCACTCCACACACCGAGAGCATTACAAATGCGCTTCTCATGGTAGAGCTGATTAATAGACAGACTCAATATTCTTCCAAGAAACCGAATTTTTTAACTGTTGGATAAAGGTTTTAAGTGTCACTTTTCTCATTTTTATGTTAGTTACATATTTTCTAAATCACATTTCACTTCAAATAACCATTGTACTAGAAGGCTGGCAATAGAGAAAATATACTATTGTTACTAGTTTTGTAAATCTCAACAACTTTCTTTATAACTGGTTCTTTAGAAATGTCAGTATTACATCTAGAACTGATTCCAGTCTAATGCTATACGAATAAAAAGATGCTCAGGATTTTTTTCAGGAGTGGTAGCCCTGAAATCTTTATAATGTAGTATTTGTTACTTTGTTAATATATAAAAGCTATATAAAAGCATGTTACATATGAACATCCAAAGCAGCAAATGGAAGTTGTTCTGTGCTGATAAATTGAAGACTACCCAGGCAGTGTCTGTGTTCTATGTCTTGATAAATTAAAAGCTTCAGCAAAATCTCCAGGTTCGCTGTATTACATTTAGGCAGAATCAAATAGTGTTCTTTTGTCAGGGAGTATGTGGCCCCATATGAAGTCAAGGCAGCTTACTCTGCAGCAATGTGGACCTTGAATTAAACATATTCAAGATTAAAATAGACTTTTTCTCCCCCTCAGGAAAGTGACCTGGTAGAGACTGCTGCTGTTCCACTGGGCAGATATCACTTCGAACATACTTGTGTTTGTGTGCGTCATACCTCGGTCATTCTGGCAGACAGCCTTCAGGATCCGATGTCCCGGGCCACATTTCCCATGATCTGGGATACAGATGCCTTCAGATACCAGCCATCGGTAACACATCGGGTCCTCGCAGGGAACAGACTCGACCAAATGCGGGCAGTGTCCTGCAGGCCCCGTGGATTCCATGAGGACATGGCGTTGTCTCATTCTAAATCCTAAAAAGAGGAAAACAAGACGTTTACAGGGTTCCAGTCCTAACCAACAAAAGAAACAAGTAGCAGCTAGTGAGGAGATGAAGCTTCTATTTGAATACCTACAGCTCTAAAACATGAATCATTGAGATGTGTTTTCTTTAATGGGAAATGGGAATGATATGAAGATAAAAGAAGTAAATGGAAAAGAAGTAGAGCTGAAAATCTGTATTCTAAAGATTACAACCTAGAAATTGGAGAGTTCGGACATAATAAAAAAACATCACAAGTAGCATGTGTCCAATGGTATCAATAAATAAGTAAAAATGAATGAACACTTACAGAAATAGCCTAAACACGGGTAAATCTCTATTTTCTTCCTGCTGTCATTTTTGACAGTATTGTTACTCTGTATTAAGTCAAAATATAACTACACTTTGGTATATTCCTTTGGTAGATGCCTGAGCATTCACAGCTTCATTCCCTGAGACTTTCAGGTCAGCCTGCCCAATGAAGACTGTACCTCTTTGGACCTGCACTCCCCATGCTGGCTAACCATGGGTCCCTGGGCTATTATTCAGTTAAAAAAAGAAAGTACTGTGAAACTAGGGCACAAAGTTCCACCACAATTAGGATATAAATTATCATTACATG